TCTCAAAATAAATGTCTGTTGGATTAGAAATTCTGTATGAAAAACAGAAATCACTTAAAAAGTAATCATTTGAAATACAACAATGAGTGGAAATAGTCTAAGCATAAAATCAAAGGCAATACCATTTTAAAATACTGGCAGGTTATATTATATAAACATGCTGAACTTTTATATGGTTTAAATAAAATCTTGTAAAACTTATAAAACCTTACATGAAAGATAGACTTAAAACATAACCCTGAGAAAACACCCTACCTAACAAACAGCAGCTGGGGCCACACCTCTTGCACAGGTGTGTAGCTATGTGATGAGGAGGGAACATCCTTTCAGGAAGAATGTGTGCAAAGGGCAGCCAATGCTATAGGCAAATGCTGAGGGCTTCTTCCATTTTATGACTAATGCATTATTTTTAATGCACATTTTACTATTAGAGTCAGTAAAAATAAATAAACCTCTATTCTTTTTTGAAGGAGTGCATCCTAAGGACTGAGGAGCTTCTGAGGTAAACAGAGGGTACATACCAAGTCCTCTCCCAGAGAGAGGCTACCTGGTCAGCAAGTTCTGTCCTCCAGGCAGATGTATCCCTACTGACAAGCCAATCCTCAAGAAACCAATACCTATTTGCTTTAAATTTAGTTATCATCAGAAATGCCATGTAGCTTGTATAGTCCACAGGCACTTATTTCTCATTAAAAAATAATCAAGGACTTCTTCTATAAACAATATTGAATTAACTGGTGTGAGACTTGCCTTCCCACTGAAAGCAACTAGAACAGTCACTTTCAGACACTGGACACAATGACCTCAAGAAACAAACACAGCCATGCATCCCACAGCAGCCCATTCCTATCCTGGGGTGATTACACCCCACAGGGTGAGAGTAGCAGCTAGGCAGGGGAGACAGGCACCTTGAGCTCTGGAGACAGGGACCAGACCTAGGTAAACTGTGCTGGCATTTGCAGGTATTGGGAAGAAGCCAGGCAAACAAAGTTGCAGAAACCTGCTACCAATTGTCAACATGTACACACACAGGATGGGATTACATCTGGCCACACCAAGCATTAACAGAGAGCTCCAAACTGCATCATCCCAGGGCAACAGAGCAGGGGAGAGACTGAGAGTCAAGAGGGGCTTGCGATTCAGTAGGTCCTGGGAGGAACCCAGGAGGACTGTACCCTGGGAGCAGGATGAAAATCCAGTATCTACTCATGGCAAACCTCTCAGCAAATGAAACATCACAATAAAGGGACTCTGGTCCATCCTAACGAAGTTTAAGAACAAGACTTGAAAAGAGAAAGCCCATCTACAAGTTGTTAAAGTAAAAAAATAAATAAATAAATAAAAAATAGGAGGCTCTGAAGGAGGAAAAAAATCCCTAAAAATTTTATAATATCCAGCACCCAATTAAAAAATTATCAGACATGCAAAAAAACGCAGAAAAGTGTGACCTATCACAAGAAGAAAGTTTTAAAAACAGAAAAATAACCAGAAACGACAGAGAAATTGACAATACACAAAGAAATTAAGTATTATAAGCTGCTGAAAAATCTGATTAGTTCCAAATCCATAAAAAAATTCACTTCATAATTAAAGAGTTTCCCAAAATGTAAACTCTTGGATCAAATGGTTTCAAAGGTGAATTTGTTCAACATATAAAAAAAGAAATAACACCAATCTTACATCAACCACTTGAAACATACAAGAGGCAAAATGACTCTCTAAATTGTTTTATGAAGCCAGCATACTCCTAGATATCAAACTAAAGGCATTAAACAAAAACAATCCTGAGCAATATCCTTCCTGAACATAGCCATAAAAAATCCTTAACAAAATGTCAAATGCTGCAATATGTATAAAGGACTCTCAGCAAGACAAAACAGTGTTCGTCCCATTCTGCTGGTAGTGTAACAAGCGTAAAAACTGGTCCACAAAATTATTATTAATCATGGTGAAAAACCACATGCTCACCTCAATAGATACAGAAAAGCCTTTGAAAAATCCAGTACCTACTCATGGAAAACCTCTCAGCAAATGAGACTAGGAAGAACTTCCTCAACCTGATTAAGGTATCTATGAACAACTGACAATTATCCCTACACACAAGGGCTGAATGTGTCCCCCAAGATGAGATGGAACACAATAAATGGTCTCTGCACTTTTCTCCAACACTGACTCAGGTCAAATGTGATACTGCAAGTGAAGAAACAGATGGCTGCTATACAGACTGGAACGCCAAAGTTAAGGATCTCCATTGCACAACCACCTAGACAATACTTTCTAGGTGGGCAGACACTACACCAAAGAGGATACACAGATAGCAAACAGCATGTGAGGCAAAGCTCACAAAACAAGTCATCAGGGAAATGGAACTAAAATGGCAGAGACCTCACCACACAAAGTCATGAATAATAAGATCAAAATGGTGACAACACTGATGTTGCTGAGGACAGATTCTGGACCACTCTTCCACTCCTAATGGAGACCGTGAATGGTACTGCCATCATGAAAAACAGCTGGGCAATTACTCTGACATGCAAAAGCTGCTTGTGTACCTTCCCCCAAAACCCTTTGGGTGGGAAAGTGCCTCAATGCTGTACTTGTGACTTCAAGGCATGGGAGCTGTCCTACTGTCCCCGACCACTAGGAAGATACGAGAGTCAACTGGTTGATTGGGGCAATGATAGCAAATCTGACTCCTATAATCTCTTCATCCACTGGTCTAGGAGAATCTGCCTTCTGTCATCATCAATCATAGAAAAGAAGAGCTGTGACAACTCAGAACACAGAGATTAATACCTGATATATCCTACAGAATGTAAAGAAGCCATCACAGAGCACTGAGAATTAACAGACTACAACAAATCATCTAGCTGGTATGCTATTGGCTTTAATGGAGAAATCCTGATCCAGAGCAGAAATTCAGGCAGTTTTCAAAATAAACTTCCAAACTGGGGAATGAGTGGGACTACAAGATATACAGAGACAAAATAAGAGACATATTTCTGTATGTTTAAAGTTCGGAAAATTAAAGGGAGGACACACACTTCCATCTGGTTTTACTGATTTGGAGGATTACAATATACATGAGCATACATGTACACTGCATGTTGGCAAGCACATGAAATGGCAAAGGTAAGGGGCAAACAACCAAATGAGAAATACAGGAAGGATGTGATGGAAAATTCCAGTCTATTAGACTTCCAAGAAGTAAGATTTAAACAATGAGCTGTCAACGTTCTGTCAAAATGAAATTTTTTTCTTTCATGCTTATGTTAAATATTTTAAAAGATAATGTCTGGTAATCCATCTGTCACTAGGTACTGAGTGTTTTGGTACAACTCTTCTCCAACAGTTTAGAAAACCAGAAGCCTGAAATTGTGAAACATTTTATCCCATAATTCTTACTATCTGACCAGCTATTTGGATGCTCTCCACATAAGATTTGCTACTTGGATGCCCTCTTTTAGTGTCAATATATTTTAAAATAAATAAAGTAGAAGTTGCTTCCCTGGCTCCATGGAAGGGTGCTAGAGGAGGCTGGTCAGCTAAGAACGGTCACTATCCACCACAGGGTGAGAAAACTAAAACCTGTGTTCCAAATCTAGCCTGGATTCACTCTGTATGGCAGTAGAGGCAAGCATATGTGGTATTTTTAAGTTGTCAAAAGAGAAAGAAGGAGAGGAGATGGTGATGGTGACTCTGGACAACACATTCTCATATGATGAAGAATACACAAAGGAATAGGAGGCTTGTTGGGGCCCACTGGTTCTGAAAAAGCCAGAGAACACAGAGGAATGACTTCTAATGTAGGGACTACCTGAAATAAACACTGTAGATGGAAGAAGCATGGCACCCCAGCCCCACATGTGCCACTTTCTAGTTTCCAGAAAGTGCAGCAGGGAGAGATTCGGTGGCTCCTGCTGTCCACAACAGCTGCAAACCATTTGCAGCATAAGCAGTAGGTACTCCCATCCTGATGCAACTAAACGAAGGGCAAGCAGTACCTAACGTTCTTTCCACAGCTGACAACAACTGTGTGGTCAAAGGTCACCCCAGACAATCTCAATCTTCCTTTACTCTCCATGGAATCATCGAATCACGTAAGACAAAGCTGCTCTCACTCAGATCAATATTAAATACAAGCTAACAGAAAACAAACATCAAAGGACCACAACTAGGGTTTTTTTCAAGAATGGAGGAAAAAAAAATACATGTATGCCAGTATAGAAGATTCTTTTTTTTTCTTTTAAATATGGAACGCTTCACGAATTTGCGTATCATCCTTGTGCAGGAGCCATGCTAATCTTCTCTGTATTGTTCCAATTTTAGTATATGTGCTGCCGAAGCACGCACAGTTTAGAAGATTCTTGACATTTGTAAGAGCTGTTTTAGAGATCACTGAAAATAAACACCATCCATGACCTTGCTCTCTGTCCCAACCTCTACCTTCTAAAGCGACATACAAACACTTGATGGACTCAAGCTGGAGCCTTTCTCCTTTCCCTGGCTCAAGAGACACTGCAAAACGCACTTCCTTCTATCAGAGAGGTTCTCCATGCTTCATTAGAAAAAGCTGCAGGTGACAGACCGGGCTCAAACGCTGATTAAACCAGGGTTGAGTCCCAGTCTCTCAAAGAAGTACCTTGAGTAGCTATTAGGGAGTAAGCTAGTTAGCAACAATGGACCTTCTGTGTCCCACCAAAGTCCTCAACTTTGAGATTATTTAATGAGAATGTAAAAAAGTAGAAAAAGAAAAATGAAAGTCTAAAGTGTGAAGCCAAAAAAAATCCCCAACAATATAAAACAGGTTATGTGCTTAGAAACCTCAGGAAGTATTTTGGTTAGAAATAAGAAAACAACAAAACAAGTTCTCAATGTATTTTCATAGTGTGTATAACTTATATGGCATGAACAGAAAGGTCCTTACTCCCTAGACATTCCCACTGAAGACAAAAGTGTACATGTATCCCTTTATTTGCACACATCTTGATGGTTCTCACCCCCAAGGCCGGCAGCCTTTGAGTGCAGCTCACAGCCACCTTCAGCTTCCAGTCTGTCTCGCCATCCAGCTGGTCCGTTCGAATGAAACATGAACCTTGGAAGTAGAGAAGAAAAAGTCACAACTCTCAAAATGTACTACAGAAGGTTATTCCTGAGCTAAAGTGCACAGATCCAGGCCAGAAGAGATACATCATGAGAACAAAAACCTTCAAAGGCCTTCATTTTGATATGATGTGACTGACAGATCAAGTCTCTGAAAAGATACAGCCATTCAATGTTGTTGGTTTTTTGTTTTTTTGTGTGTGTTACTTTAATATTTTATTTAGAGACAGGGAATCACTGGGTTACTTAGGCCTCACTAAGTTGCTGAGGCTGCCTTTGAACTCACAATCCTCCCACCTCAGCATCCCAAGCTGCTGGGATTATAGTCGGGTACCACCATGCCAAGCCCATTCAATGTTTTTGATCACCTGATTTCTATTTGGTGTTTCTGCCTTTTAAGGTTTAATATTAACTACTATAGAGACTACAGGGGTCATTTCTACCTTTAATGTCTTTTGAGAGTGACAAAAAAATGAGACACACAAAAATCTCCAAGAGTGCATGATATTACCTTGCTAAAAAAATGTTACATTTACCACCACAGAACATATATTCAATAATAACAGCACAGCTAATGTGCTAATGGACACTCATAGCATATCTGATTTTTTTAATATATTCTTTTATCTGTCAATGGACTATTATTTTACTTACTTATATGTGGTGCTGAGGATTGAACTCTCTCAAGCATGCGAGGAAATGCTGTGCCACTGAGCTACAGCCCCAGCCCTGCTATTTGATTTTTAATACAGAAAAATATCAAGTTACAAAATTCCACTGACCCTCCAAGACTGAGTTATATCATCCCATTTCTCAGAATGTACCCTGAAGACAGAACATGAAAAGCACAAAATGACAAACTCTCAGAACTATTCACTGCAATACTATTTACAAAAACAAAAGGATGGGGGCAAAAAGAGAACTAGCTGAATAAAGGAGAGCACAAGGGAAAAGAAAGGAAAACAAAGAAAGACCCCTACATACTGTTATCAAATGACTTCTAGGACACATGCTGACATGAAGGAAGTAAGAGAACATTATGTACAGAACACTAACTCACAGTAAGAGAAAGGGAGGAGAAAGGAGAATAAACGTGTGTATAAGTGTGTGAATATCTGTGTTCGAGCTTTAGTGTGTGCATCCATGTACATTTGTACTGTGTATTTGTATCCGTGCATGTGTCTGAGTGTACATGTATCCCTTCATTTGCACGCATCTGTGTGTAACTGTCTAGATGCATGTGTATCTGTGTATGTCTGTGCTTTGTGTGTGTAGGTACAAAGCTGTGGGTATGCACAAGTGCATCATACCTATATGGAAAAGAATGGACAGGAAGAGAAGCCAGACCCAACTACATCTTACTTGATACTGTTCACTTGGAAAGGATACATGCTTTACATAATTGAAAAATCAAATTACAACAAGCTTTACATGCCCCATGCCAATCTCTGTCCTTCCCTCCTTCTGGAAGGTGCCAGGGGCACCTGCTGCTGCTGGCTGCACTGCAGAGTCCACCACCTACTTGCACGGGCTTGCCATTCTGGTATGTCACCAAATTCTCTCTTCACCTGCAGATCTCCTTCCCTGTTATTTCCTCTGATGAAGGTCTAGATCTGCCCTGCACTGAATGCACATCCACGGTCCCACACCAGAGGTGCAAGGGGCAGTGTCCACTCTACAATGGCCCTACAGCCACTCACGCTCCATGCACAGACCCACTGTTACACTATAGGGTGCAGGCAAGACAGCCTTTTCATGTCCAGGTGGAGTGAAACCCAAGCAGAGAAGCTTCTACCCAGTGTATTAGGTTGGTCACCTGGTAGAACAGCTTCTGAAGTAAAGACTGGCTCATGGTTCTTCACCCTCGACATTCCAAGACAAGGAGTTGGTACTCTGCCACCCTCAGCTAGTGCTCCATGGGGGAGGCACATGGATGAGCTGCAGTATTGACGTTTCAATACAATGTGCTCATTATTACCATTACAGAATCTCAAATTTCCCCACATTTTCCATTGGGTACCTCTTTAGGTTCTTGCCTTATTCCTGATGACATGAATCTATTAGACTTTGACAGTCTCCTTCACAGTCTGGTACTGCAGAATACTACTAGGTTAAACATCATTTCTAGGTCTTTTCAGTGAACAAAAGCAAGAGAGAAAAGTGTGTGTGTGTATGTGTGTGCATGTTTGTGTGTTGCACAAAGTACATCCTGCGTTCACACTGATCTCCCCAATCCAAAGTCAATGCTGTGGGGTTTCTCATGACCCGTTATCGCTTCCAGCTGCATCTCCCTTCTTCTGCATCAAGGACCCCGATTCTCAAGAACATAGAATGCAGAATGAGAATCCTACCAGGCCCCGTGGCTGCAGGTGGTCTATTCTTTGGGCTTTTACAGGGATAACTGGTAAGCTCATTCTGTGTTAAATGCTGTGTGTAGATTATTGGTTTTATCTGGCAGTCTGATTTCTCTTTTGTGTATGTATGAACGACCTTTGTCATAAATAAACAAACAGTATTATGGAAGTCTATTGCCACACAATGATCCTCACGTTTAAATCTGTTAACATGTGACATAGAGCCACACATCACTGAACAACAGGAGTACCTTCTGAGAAATGCACCACTGGGCAATGTTGCTGGGTATATCAATGCAAACCCGGATGGCACAGGTTACTTGATATGGCCTCCTGATGCAAACAAAGGATGTGGTGAGCACAAATCTGTATGAGCTTGCTGCTAGAGTAACACAGCATACTCATTTACAATAAACTAACACACACTCTCTCTCTCTCTCTCTCTTTTCAACAAGTAGGAATACACTCTCAAGTAACAACAAAAAATATAGTACAGGAATATCTCAATGATTAACACAGTCATGCATTATCATTACCAAGCGCTAAGCATGTTCATAACTGACATGCCCTTCCAGAGGACTGGCAGCACAGGTTTGTTCATACCAGCATCACTTCACTCACACACATGTACACTGCACTGCTTACAGCATTAAGACCCCCAAGACACCACTGGGCAATAAGAACATTTCAGCTGCACTAAAATCTCATGGGGTCACCCTCATACACATGGCCTGTGGTTGGCTGAGAAGTCCCACTTGGTGAATGACTGCATGTTCATGTTTCTGAAACCATAGTCAGCACCACAACGTACCCACGACAGACAAAGAGTCCAGGTTTCCTCTGTGTTAACTCCTCCTCTCACCCCTCCTCTACCAGCTGCAGGAATCCAGCAATGACCCATGTGGTATTACAGCTCTTCCCCATTACAGGCAGGGTTTGAGAAGACACAAAGACTATGCTGCAATAACCATCACCCAGGATCTCAGAACCTCATATAACTTGCAGTAATGGGACTGCACCCATTAGTGAGTGCTATGTATCCTAAGGAAAAACTGCAGATACACTGTAATAGCTTTCAGTTGCCATTCCAGGAGTTCAATGTTGCACTACAACCGGGAGACTATCATGTAGAAACCTCTGCACAGTACGCAGGCAGACTATATCCACTTAGTGCAGTTACCATGGGGCCATAAAGATAACTGTCCAGGCTAGATCCATGCCATGTGATCTTATTCAGCAAGTGTCCCATGACTGCTGAAAACCTGTCAGGACACCAAGACTCTCCTCCTGCCAGTTATAAATGTATGGGAAAATGAAAGAAATAAAACTGGCATTTACTGAGTGGATGGGAACTTAAACAGCAAGAATGCCGGGAATGAGAGTCTTGACTCTGCTCTTAAGTTCTGTGGAAGCTCCTTGGGTACTTCTTGCCTCCTTCCACTTGCCACAAAACTCTAGAAGAAGCAGAGAGCACCCTTCTGGGCTTTGGCCCAGTCCTACTCCTGGCTGAGGTGGGACTGGCCTAGAATGCTCATCCTGGAGCAAGAGTTCCATCCTGGTGAGACTACAGTGGGCATGTCTTACCTCAAGATATCTTCATCCTATTCGTTACCATGATTTCCCTTATTTATATCAAGAAGTTCATAATAATAAATTCCTGGGGCTGCAAACCATCAATCTGTCAGAAAGGCAGCAGTGTGAATTTTCTTATGGCCACCTTCTTTTTCTATCACTTTACACACTCTCAAGTGGCTTCCTTCAGAGCTCTGGAATGGCAGGACTTCCTGCAATTGTGCACACCAAGACTCACTGTCACTTTCTACCACTTTTCTAGAATGTTTTCCCCTGTGTGTTTCCTGATAGACTTTACAAAACTCAACTGAAGAAACTGCAAGACGCCCAGTTACAGTGACAATAACAAGAACAAAAGGCCATATTACATAACAGGTTTTAAAAGTTGAAACAATGCCTCAACACACTGGCTGGAGTAATGAAGTTGTGCTTGATGGTAAAAGGCAAATTCACTTTGAGAAGGCGGCAATGCAACCACATACTTTGCTGTCTACATGTGAGCTGCATAAAAGTGTGCAGAGACCAGTCACCAACAGACTCAACAAAGAGAAGGAGTAAAGTGGTGATCACCAGTTAGTCACATGGTACCCAGGCTGTCTACAAAATGATCTGTGGACGGAAGAGTCAAATATAAAATTTAAACTGCACCTAATTATTCAATTATTATACGTCACAGTAATGAAAACTTGGTATACATCATCAGGGAACTGGTGTAATTTGTCTTAACTTTCATAATGAAATTTGTAGACAAGAAAAATGTACAAAGCAAAACTTTCTACACAAAAAATACAAACTGAAGATGTAAAAACTTTGTGATCCTGAATCTGAACTGGAAATAATCAGTGCACCCTTGACAAATTATTCTTTTCAAAAAGAGAAATCAACCAGTTGCAGTGGCACAGACCCACAATCCCAGAAGCCCAAAAAGCTGGAAACAGGAGGTTCACAAATTCAAGGACAACCTGGGAAACTTAGCAAGATCCTGTCTCAAAATTAAAAACAAAACAAAAAGGCTAGGGATGTGGCTCATTGGTAAAGTACCTCTAAGTCAATTACAAGTATCAAA